CTCTCTCCCTCATCCACATTTTCTTCATTGGTGTTGCTAGCATTATGGTAGTCGGATGTGGTGGGATGCATGTATCTTCCATTGAAAGATCGAAACTCATCTCGCATCTCATTCACGGTCACCTGCAGTGTACTCATCTGGGTGGTCATTTGCCCCATGTAGTCGTACATGTCTGTCATCTAGGTGGAAATATACTCCATGTAGTCGTACATGCCATCCATGCGCTTCCCAAAGAGGTCGACCTAATCCTATATAAGGTCGACTTAAAAGTGCATATTAGGTCGACCTTATCCTATATAAGGTCGACTTAAAAATGCATATTAGGTCGACCTTATCCTATATAAGGTCGACCTAAAAGTGTAGATTAGATCGACCTAAAAGTGCATATTAGGTCGACCTAATCCTATATAAGGTCGACCTAAAAGTGCAAGTTACGGGTGACATGCATGTCTCCATAGGCATACCCTATAACTTATTATTTACTTTAAGTAAAAAACAGTAGAAAATTTACTTGATCAAGTTTAATAATATATTTTTTGTTTAACTAAATGTGATATATAACTCTACAAACATTAGTCTTTTCTACAAACATAGATATAATATGAAAATTAAAAAGAATTATTGAATAAAAGAAAACATCATTAAAAGAAGAGAGAGATAAGTTCATAAATAGCTCATTAACTAATTTTTTTGCTTGTACAAAAATTGTCCACCTTGGCAACTTGTGAATTCTCCAAGTGCTTATGTGGCAAGAAGTTGTTTTTGAAAAACCATAATATATAGTAAGATAAGATGTATCTTTAGGAGTATTTACTTGAATTTATATGAATATCGTAACTATTTGATCAATGAAATATTATTATACTTAGATTGCGATTTTGTAAAAAAAAAAATTGTCGTTTTGGTATGGTTGTATACTTTTCAAGGTAAAACACAACCTAGAATACTTGAGTTCCAAGCTTGTAAAATTATTGAGTACCAGTGGTGCATATTTGAGAAGATCAAGAGGGTTCACCTATTGGAAGACTAAAGGAGAGAAACTCTTCTATAAGTCTTAACTAAAACCCAAGAGGAGACCACTAGAAAACTTAGCTCAAGCTGCAGAAGGAACCGATGGCGGCCTCAAGATGAGTTTGACCACCGCAAGTCCAAAGTCACTCAGCTCAAGCCCAAATTTCTAGGAGAATTTGCTTGGGTCCTAGCAACCCAATCCAAGTAGAAATAGCTTGACGCCTCCACCTACCTCCAGGATGCCGCTCGGTCTCCAAGCCCAAAGAACTTCTAGAAGGCCTTACTTCCTCCCCAAATCAAAGAATCCGAGTCACACTCATACAAGGAATCTCCAGGCCAAATTTATTAAATTAAGGTGACATCCAATCAGATAACGTAACATACAAAATTTCAGAATTGAACAAGACCGGCAAATGTGAAAGAAAAGGGAAAGTGAGAATAGCTCTACATCTTTTTTTTAGGTAGTTGTACAACTTTTGCCTGATGATTTTGCCCACGGGCAGTAGCCATTAATTTATGGTGGGCATTAAGAAGCTTATTAATTTCTTGCGTGTCTAAGCAACTTGATAAGAATGTATATTGATTTCATAAGGGAAAGGAGCCACGAACTAGGAGAGACGGTAGCACCGATGGAAGAGAAAGAGGGGGTCTAGGGAGCGAAGGTTATTGGGATTCTGCTGAGCTCTTTATTAGGGCCACACATCGAGAGAGAATGATTGTTTCATTTACATCTTTGCCCCTCTACACTATGCGGGTTATCCAGCAGAGGCTTATGTGGCAATTCATTTACCCTGACATTCTCTTATATTTATTTGTAGATTTTAAACTAGCCAATCAAAACCCCCCACCAAATGGCCCAACAGTGCCCTCTTCTCCTATAAAACCGAGGACGGGCTCTTATTCTCATGGGGCACACATACACCCTCTTCTTACATAAAAAAGGAAAGAACAAAAGGATCTTCTTGCTTCTTCTTCCTCTTCTAGGTACTTCCTTTTACTTTTCCTCACAAAACAGGCAGAAAAAAAAAGCAATCAAAACCAACAGAACAAAAATATAGAAGAGCAAGAGAAACCAAAGAACTCTCTCTTCAACCTTTCCTTTTCTCCTTAGCCAAAACCAGCGGCGGATCCAGAACACAAAAGAGCACTGGGCCGCATTTTATTAGAAAATTAGAACCATAAAAAAATTAATGATTATAGTTTTTTTACAATGTAAATTGTACACAACGGTATCTTAATTTAGAAAATGTATCAATAATGTAGTCCACATTCATACCAATAGTATACACTGTCCCAAATAAAATACTTGAGCAATTGGCAAGAAATTCATCGCTCATTTATTGTGCATATCAGTTTTTACATGTTTCTTTGTTCAAAAGGTTCTCTGAGGTTCTCTCTGTAGTTGTTGAAACGAGCAGCATCAACACTAGACAAATCAATATCAATTTGCATTATGTGTCCATCCCTATACCACCAGTTGTCTAGTAAATTTTCAAGGTAACAAACCTTATATTTCTTTTAGTCTGTTATGCTTTAGAATTTTAGGTTTCAATGTTTTTTTTAGACGAAAAATCTTTGGGGCTAGAATTTCTTGGCTAAATTTAGAGTAGTGATTTGAATATGTTCATCTAAATCAATTTACTAATTATATCCAATTTTATTATAAAAATAGCATTGGGCCGAATACCTAATATCAAAAAATTCATAAGGCCTATACTAACTATGGATCCAGAGGAGGGCTGGGCCGGGGCCCGGGGTGGCCACCCCCTGGATCCGCCACTGGCCAAAACCAACACCACAATATGACAAAAACGGAAATGAAATACAATTAAGGAAGAGCACAAGAGGTAGCAGGAGCATAATGGAGACTCCAACAAAGGCCAAGCCCTTCACAAAACAAGAGAAGGAAGGTTGGTAGCCCTTAATCACAAACCAGCATAATCATTTATCCAATTATCACCATTCATCTCAATTTCTACCTTCTTAAACATTCATTTAGACCCATTCATCTCATTTTCTACCCATTTCAAAACTCATTTAGACCCAATTAACTGAGTTCAGGGAAGTACACATTTCTTTTGTTTCAAGGGGATCCCTTCTAATTCAGTTTTGGAATCGGTCGAGATGAGATGAAGGCTAGGTTTTGTTGTTGAAGGGGTTTATATACTTAGAGCTGAAAAAACTAAAATACCCCCACTTTGTTCTGAAATTTGCCTGTCTTTGCCACTCTTCTAAAACGAAGTTAAAAAAAATACTAATCAGGTCCAAATCAACATTTTAAACCACTAGGGTGGCTTCCTACCATTTGCGAAAATACTAATCTTGTTTAATTTTCAATTTTAAGAAACTTTAATACGTAAAACCAAGTCTATTATCGTATGATTCCAATGTTAACACTAACTACATATCCTTTTCAAAATATTCTCATGCTAAACTCCCATTGGAATTACTAACTTCCTTATGTTATCATTTGCTCATTCACGCATTTTTATCCTAAAAATTATTACTACGAGATCATGGTCAATAAACCATGATAGTATTTACGATGAAACTTCTCTTAAAGTCATCAATCATTAGATTACCACATTACAATTATCAAAATTACATTTTCCATTGGAAGCTCATCATTATCTTATTCACAATCAATAGAGCATGTTAATATCGCACCATGAATCATTCAAAGAATCGAACAACATGGACTTTGATCCCGTTTACTCGAGTGCGTAGGCAACCAATAGGTTCGAGTCCAACTAACCAAAAACTTTTTCTTCGCGTTCAAGATTCACATCAATAGACGTATGATAGAATCATGAAATAATAAACACTTAATTAATTGAATCCTATAATTAAATAAGCAAATAAAGAGAAAATTATAATACAATCAACCTTAAATACTTATTAATTTAACTGGTACCAATTTTTGGGTGTTGTGGGGTGTGAATACACTTTTCCACACATAATTATACTCTCGAACCCGTAACTCTGAAGTTCGCAGACCAAATTTTGGTTTTAATCCTAAAGTCGAGGCCGGACTAATATAGTGTTCGATCCTCCACAATTACTATCAATGGCGTCTACGAGTATCGCGAGACGGATCCCCATATTTCGATGACCATTTGCGATAATGAGATATCAGTATATCACAAAGTTCAATTAATTCAAAATCTAAAAGCATTTTCTTACTTAAAATATGGACTTACGTATATATTTACCTCAAAGTCGCTTAAAATTTTTTTATATATATATTTTTTTTGGATTGAGATAGCTGCATATTTATCTTCATACAAGCCGACACAATTCCACAATTCCATTTCTTTTGGTATTTAAAAGATTACGTGCTGACAAGTGACATTTGACAACCACCTGATGATTATTTTATATATTGCGTAGCGTAGAACAGGATAATTGTTTTATATTATTCACCTTCTCCTAATCAATGATTATGTTCACCATTGAAGATTATTATTTACTTCATTATTTGTTCTTGACCGGTTCCCTCTCTTCTAACTCTTATAGTTACAAGTTTGACCACGTAGCTCCAAACATTGCTTTAACATTTCGTTCCAAGTAATTAACTAATTGACCATTCTAGTTATTGAAATTAATTTTGATTATCATTCCTATCATTAGTTCACATAACTATTAGCATGCTAAAGCACATCTTTTAGAATGATATTGTCGTGAAAGATGAAAAGCAAAATAAAAAGAATTATTTGATACTATAATAGATTCACTCTCGAGTTCATACAATTGTTTCCCCGTTGAATTACAAAATGAATCTCATTGCAAGTGTTTGAGTTGTGTTTTTTGACATGGTTTCATTCAAATAAGTGGAATTGTGGAAAATTTTCATGGTTTTATATAAACATGTGTCTCAACTCTCAACGGAGAGAAAGGAGCTAGGAGAGGTAGGTTTGCACGCTAAAAGCATTAAAAAAAAATTATAAGCTACTACTAGATTGCACGTGTATAACTACACAAAATCAACACATAAATCCACCATAATAATCTTGAATCGCTATGATTGGTCACTGAGATTACAGAAAACGTTCATGTTTGGTCACTCGAAATATCTAAATTCATTCGTAGTCACTAAAATTAGTAAAACCGTCCAAGTTTTGTCACTATACGTTAGTCTCCGTTAACCTCCGTTAGCACCGTCAATTTTATGCTGATGTGGCTAACGAAAGTGTCTAATCAACCAATTTTAAACTAAAAAGTTTGATACTCGACCCACCACGTCATTAAACCCAACCCAACTTAACACAACCGGTGACCCAACCCGACCAACCCAACCCTTCATCTTCTTCTTCCTCTTCTTTTTTGCGGCGGCAGGAAGTCCAGGAGCCTTTAATGATCTTGTTGAAGCAAGTATAGTTGCCACAAAGAAGAATAAGAAACAAGATTAGAGAGAGTGTTAAACCCATTAATCCTATCTAGTAAACAAATTTGGAGAAGCTACAAGAAAAAGTAGTTGAGCAGCGTCGTGGAAAACATAACATTCATTAATGACTTGGTCTTGGGCATCTTCCCCTGCCTCTAAATCCCTCTCTATCGACTGTTCTACTGGAGAAGAGATTACCTACCCGATTAATTCAGAGGCCAAGCTCGATTTTGTTGTGGGTGGTGGAACAAATCCATGACGTGAAACGGTGAATCTTCTCCCGAACTCAGCCTCATATCGCCACTGCCGCCATCCTTCTCCGTCAGGACGATTCGGAATCCGACATTCTCTTCTCTCGGTCAAGTCGACAATCCAAAAGAGAGGGTTCAACGGTAGATTTGTCTTTAATTTTGTCAACTGCAGGGGCATTACGAGAAGAAGCCCAACAACCCACCGTCGTCATCTTCAACTGTCCCGACAAGTCGGATCTCGGATGCGATATCTGCCGCAGTGCCGCATAATTATGGAGCTCGACCTTTGAATTAATCAAGCAGTTACTCCATGAATTGCGACACTCTTGCTCGATTTTGTTTTGGTGTTGGGAGAACAATGACGGTTAGTTTAAAGATTGGAGGGATGATTGGTAATGGCAAAGTGAAGGCAAGATTTAGGATAATTTCTTTGATAATAAAAAATGTTTAGGTTAGTTTGTCTGAAACGTCAAGAAGAGAGGGTCGATTTGGTTGTTGAACTGGGTTGGGTTAGGTTATATAGTAGTCTGACGTGGCGCGTCGGGTCATATGATGTGGCAGGTTAAATTGGGTGACCAGACATGTCTGTTAGCCACGTCAGTAGAAAACTGATGTCGTTAACGGAGACGGACAGAGAGTGACCAAACTTTAACTGATTTACTAATTTTAGTGACCACGAATAAATTTAAATATTTCGAGTGACCAGATATAAATATATTTTTTTAAATGTCAATCACCAGCCATACAAATAACCCGTAATTCATATGACTCGTTCGTTGTTATCCCTATTCTTGTGGCACTTCCTTTGTTTTGGGTTTGGGCAAATTCCAATATTTTGTTTCGTATTGATTTTTGTTACCCTCCCTCCGCCTAAATATTCCGGTGGTTGGGCCTGGCGGGACGCGGGAATAGCATTAGCCGTTTAGCACAAATCACGGTGAACTGAGTTGGCATCTCCTAAGTGGGACCCAATAAATTGACAGGTAGGATTAAGAAACTCAACATTCATTTCATCATAGTATCATACACTCTTAACTTTACTGTATTACCCATTTCGCTCTTGGAAATTACATTTCTGACCGAGACAGGAAAAAACAACTATCAACAAATTAAGGGAATCACACATGAACAATAATCAAACAAGTAGGACTTTATCACGTCTATATTCTAATCCTACAAGCACTTTTAAGGTCAAATCTAACCGTAGAACTACCGGACATGGAACTGCCAACCTTACCTTTCATCTTCAAATGGTTTCATACTTCACGTAAGAGAAACACAGAGAAAATTTTGATTTCGTTCTTAAGGTTAAAGTGTAAGAACGAATGTGCAGATTAGTTAGACGAAAGGGTGGTATAGACAACTTGAAAGAACACGTAAAACAAATAGTGTCTAATTAGCACTGGCTCGAAAGTTGAAGGACCATAGTAGTAAAAGAACACTAGAGAGAAGCTTTCTATATTCACGGGGTTTAGTTTTAATCTCAGGCGGGCGGTTACGAAGAACGTGGCGAGCATGTAGGGGAACGAAGAAGGAAGGATTTTCATCCAAGCGTCCAAATTCAATCCCGGTAATTGCGGCTTCAGCGATTGAAGGGGAGGAAAAAGGGCAAACTGGACATTTCAACATTCAAAAATAGTTTTACGGTTTCCCGAAACTCCAGACTCCAAAGCAAAAAATCTCGCGCAATTTTCTCTAACAAAAATATTTTCTCCCTTTTTAAATTTCGTTTCTTTTTTCCTTGAGATTTAGTTAGACTGAGAAGGAGGGGGAGGAAGGGTAGAGACGAACAGCAGTTGCTTGCTAAACCCTCTATAGCAAAAGGGGAAGAGAGTTTAAAAAAAAAAAAAAAAACTCGCGAGATTGAGTACAATTCACAAGTAGTAGTAGCAGAAGAAGAAGATAGCTTCCAGGGTTTGGTTTTGAAATATTTTTTTTGCTGAGTTTGGAAGGGAGTTCGGGCAAGTGGGCTTTGTTTTTTTTTTTAGAGAGAGAAGATAGAAAGGTAGAGGACGAAGGATGTTAGTAAAGACAAGGAGATGCTGGTTACTATCAATTTTTGGCGTATAATAGGAGGGGAGTCGCTGTCTTTCTTTCGGTGATGAATGGAGAGCTTTGAGAGAATAGAAGCGGCAGCGGCAGCGGAAGGAGAAGAAACAGAGTCCTGACAGGAGAGCAGAGTGTGTTGGGAATCATCAATTTCAGGAGAAAAGAAGGGCCCATGCTTTTCAATTGAGAAGAAGAAGAAGAAGCCAGGTGATTTCAAGCTCTGGTGGGTAAATCTTGTTTTTGGTTTTCAATGGCGAATTCTATTTTTTATTTTTTTTTCTTTCTTCTTCTTAAAGTTGGTTTTTCAATGCCCTGTTTTGGCTTTCTTCTTTGTAGAGCTGTTATGGAACAGTTGAGACTCCGAGGAAAACCAAAATTTTGGAGTTCTCTGTGTCTATGTTTTCTTTCTCTGTTGCTTCATTTGGTTTTCGCCTTGCAGAAACATCGACTTTAATTCCCACAATCAAAGTTTTTCCCCCCCTTTGTGTGGACAGAAAAAGTGTTCGCTCCTCTTCTTTACTTGCTTTCATGTGACTGCTTCCAATTTCAAATGAAACTCATGAGTTTATGCCCTGGAAAGAAAGATGGCATAGCCATTTGGTTCTTCTCTACTGGTTTCCACTTCATTCTTACCTTGAAGGAGAATTTTGTTTCATCTTAATAATTATATTTAACACATGCACATTCATTTTCTAGGCTAGATTGCTAGTCAAGAGCAATAGTTTTTATTTGGGGTTTCAAAAGTCAAAACCAAAAAAGAAAAATCCTTTAATTTTATCTTTTCTTTTTCTTTTGGCCAAGTTTCTTGCTAGCTTGCTGTCAAATTTCAACTTCTCTCCATTTCCTCTTACTAATATTGGCATGCATTGTTTCTTAGCAACTCTCATCAATTCCAGATTGTTCATAAATGACAACATATGTTTCAATTTGGCGGGAATGCTAAATTCGCTATGTCACAAGTTTGCCTTCTGATCTAGCCATTCTTGGCCAGAATTTTGCTTAGCTCTTCTCACTTCCATTTCAGCTCAAGAGTTGGGTGGGACACATCCCCATATTTTTGTTGAAACATGGTTTAAATTTCCTTTTCATTCCCATTGCAAGGATTTTGCAGAAGAAAAAAAAATGGATTTCACAGAGTCCACAAAGGCTGTGTACAGCAGGATACAACAAATAGACCCAGAAAACGTCTCCAAGATCATAGGCTACCTCCTCTTACAAGACCAGGGGGAGCGAGAGATGGTTCGGTTAGCCTTTGGACCGGATAATTCGATCTACTCATTGGTTCACAGGGCCAAATCAGACCTCGGCTTGATGATGAACAACAACAACAACAACAACAAGCAGCAACCTCCTGCAGAAGTAGCAGTAGTCCCTCTTCATCATCACTATGCTCCTAATTACTCCGAATTCGTCCCTAACTACTCCGATCAAATGCAACAGTTTTTTACCATGGATGACCCTAATCCGGTCAACTTCTTCTACCCCGAGTCCGGTAGAAGAACGAGCAGAAGGTCGCCCAGCCTGCCTGAGTTTCCGGTCAAGATGTGTCATTACTACAGCAAAGGGTTCTGCAAGCACGGCAGCAGCTGCAGGTACTTCCATCACGGGGTTTCCACGTCGGACATTTTCAAACAGTCGTCCTCTGCTGACATCATGGAGGAGCATAACAATCATGTGGTCTCCCCTGGTTCGCTGGAGAGGCTGGAATTGGAGCTGACCGAGCTGCTGAAATCAAGAAGAGGGGTGCCGGTTTCCATAGCCTCGCTGCCCATGATGTACTATGATAAGTACGGGAGGACCCTTCAGGCCGAAGGGTATCTCACCGAGAGCCAAAGGCATGGAAAGGCTGGGTTTAGCTTGACGAAGCTCCTGGCTCGGCTGAGGCACAGTATTCGCCTCATCGACAGGTGGGCAAATTTCGATTGCTTTATAGATGCCATTTTGTACCAACATTGATTGTGTACTGAGCCCGCCATTTGATATTCTACTATTGACTATTGTTGTTGTTAGGCCTCACGGGCAGCACTCAGTGATGCTAGCAGAAGATGTGCCGAAATACTTGGAATGCGCGGCGGGCGAAAGGAATGATCCTGGTGGGATCGTGGCTGGTTCTAAGCAGATATATCTCACATTTCCTGCTGAGAGTACTTTCACTGAGCATGATGTTTCCAACTACTTCAGGTTGAGAACCATTTTTGACGATTGCTTGAAACAAAATGAAACCCGTAATTTTGATTCATTCATCCATGGGTTTCCTTCCTTTTTTTTTCTCAGCAAATTCGGCGCAGTTCAGGATGTCAGGATTCCGTCCCAGCAGAAGAGAATGTTTGGGTTCGTTACTTTTGTTTTCGAGCAGACGGTGAAGCAGATACTGGCCAAAGGGAACCCACATTTTGTGTGTGGTGCTCGTGTGCTCGTCAAGCCTTACCGGGAGAAGTCGAGGCTGTTCGATAGGTAAAGAAAAACAACAAATCATATTTGCTTTTGTAAAAGAGATTCCCTGTTACCAAATGATTGATAGGGTTGACAATTTGAGCATATGATTCTCTTCTTCTCTCCTTTACCTTCTGTTGCAATCATTGACAATTTAGAATAGATAGGTGGAAGAAAAAAAAGTTGGATTCTTTTGTGCTTTTTCCCCCTTTCTTCCTTTTATGCCTTTACCCTCTTCCTTTTACTCACATTATTATTGAAGGATCTTGGAGCTTATTGCACTCCCTAGATTCCATCTTTTTTGTGGATGTTTTTGAATGTATTCAAATCAATCTGGACAGGAAGTACTACTCTGAGAAGATGCATCAGTCCATGTGTTACCACAACTCGCACTATATCGATGGAGATTCTGAGCTTGGTTACCCAAGTTTTAGCTCGAGGCTAATGAGGAGGCAGCTCATTGAGGAACAAGAGCAAGCTCTTGAGTTTGAGAGAAGGCGTTTATCGGAGATGCAATTGACCAGCACGAAGACGGCTCTGAACCACCGCTCCTTCTTTGGATACTCGATGGTCGACGAGTTGAAGCTCCCAGAAGGTCTTTGCAAATACTAATCTTTCTCTGCACTTCCTTCCTTCCTTCCTTCCTTCCTTCCCAAGTTATCATTCCAAAACCATTTTCCTTTTCTGCAGGCACTTCAGAAGCGGGTGATTTCCCTTCTGCAGAGCGGCTGAACTAC